ATATATATATATATATATATTTATAAAAACACCGCCTTTAATACCGGTGAGTTATGTTGATGGAATGGCTGATATACAATATTTAACTTTATCACTAATATCGGTCGATACAGACACTATGCCGATAAGATCGTGCATCCCTACTAATAATAGATGATGGACTTACACTGTTCGTTTAAACATCCGTAGTCAAACTGAATGCAGAAACGTCCTGCAACAGGCTGCAGATGTTTTTTTTTTTACAAAGTCATATGTCTTCTGCAAAGTTTTTTCTAAAATATGGTGGCGGCTGAGAATGTCATACCAAGGCTCCAATATGTTGAGAAGACAATGAAATTCAGAATCATCCACCCCTGAAAACGTCTGGCCGTCTGGAGTGACGTATTGGGTAAGAGCCTCAGTCCTCATTACCACACATGGATTGGCTGGAGCCATTTTTCCCCCTAATTTCTGGAGAACTTGCTGCAGCACTGGTTGTGATGTGCTGCTTGCAGCAAACTCTTTAAACTCCGCCTCGTGTTTTGTCTAAACTGCCGTTGTTCGTCCCTCCTCTGGACAGTGTAGCTGAGCACAGCAGACAAACTACTTTTTTTTTTAATCACCTGAGTTTATCTTAAAATATCTCCAAACTACAGCTATTTTTTTATTTTCTGTCACTTGTGCTGCGGAAGCAGAAATAGCACCACCCAGCATATAAGCAGTATAGGTCCCAGGTGTTGGGGCATATTTTACTAGTATGAATACTTGTAAAAATGCTAGTATTAGGCCCGAAACCAGTATCGGTATCGGGACACCACTAACAATTTTCAACATAAAAGTGGTACTTTAGTTTCACTACATGATGAAAGTTCATAGAAACCGTACGTTCTGTGAGTTATGGTTAAATTTCAGTGTGAATTATTAAAATGACATGCTGTACTTGAACGTAAGAGGCTGGGTGAGCCACAGGGCATGTAAATTAGGACAGAAATGGGTGGATTTATCCAGGCTTTGTGTTCAGACTGGTTGTTCTGTTGGTTCTGTTTAGTGTTGGGTTGGTGTTCAGGCTGTTGTTAGTGTAAAAGAAACAACACCATGAGTCTGATGTTGGACCTGCTGGATAAAAAGAGAAGAAGAACTTCCCGTCAGAGTTATGAACTTTAATGAGACTAAAGACAAGATTGTAACTCCGTAGAGGTCTTTGACAAGACCACTGATGTCATTTAATCCAAAATGAAGCTGTTACAGACATGGTTCGCCACAGGACTGCACATTATTTTGTTATTTATAAGGTTTGACCAAACCATCATTTTCCAGCACAAGATGAACTTAATTTAAAACTCTTCAACTCTCTTTCTTTTATCAAATGCTTTTCTTGTATCTTAGTATTATCCAGTAATAAATGACAGATGATGCATGTTTTTATTCTCTGCTTTAGAACCGTGGCAGATTAAACCGAGATAAAGTTGTCATCAAGACACGAAAGAGGATGAAAAACAGAAACAAAAAAACAAAAAAGCACCTAACGCAGGAAAGAGGAAAGAAGGTTTGTTGACAGGATCAGAGGAAAATATTTCAGCTTGCCAAAGCTAACAAAAACCAAGCGTGCTACCACCTCACATTGAGTAAAGCCACACCCGATCCACAGTAACATCCACCATCTGTGCCTTCAAGCATTTTTGCATTTCTTTTTTTTTTTTTAAGTAAAAGAGATTTCATGTCAAGCATCCAGAGGAATTAAATTTCTATTTACCCTCGGCACGATGCACGAAGAAAACCCTTTTATGAGCGAGAGTTCACCTAAAGCTGCTTTCCAAAAGAAATTTATCCGTGATTCAAAATAAAAAAACAAAACAAAAAGAGACTTGTTTAGAAACGAACAAAATGGAACCTGCCCAGGACATTAATCTACCACCCACTCGTCAGCGAGACCGCTACTGCTACAACCAGTGCGTCTTCTTTTATATTCTTGTCTCCTGCTGCCATTTTTCAGTCACATAGCTGATCTGCCTGGTCTTGCCTGCCTCGATCGTTTCAGAGCTGAGGCCAAATCTAAGAGCAGCCTCGTTTGTGATTGCACAACAGTTGTTTAGACACTTCACAGGAGCAAAGTGCGCTTCGCCAAAGGGCAGGATGCGATGCGGATGGGCCGGTGCATCGGCTGGTGGACAACAGCACGGAGCGTGACATGCACAAACTGCGTTTTCTGCAGCGGAGGCAGCTCAGGCTGCACGCGCAATCACGCACAGCTCAGTGTCGCTTTCGTTTTTCCACACGCATGTGAAAAACTTTTACTTCTTGCAGCTGACAGGTAAAGTCTCTTAGCAGCCGGAGGTGAGAGGACAGGACAAGGCTCTCAACGCCTCTGACAAACTCACAAACACCAAGATTCAAATGACCCACTCTGCGCCGAAAGGAGAAAATCCAACCCAAACCTCCAGGACCAGTTCATCCTCCTCAGAACCACCATACCCAACAACATCTGGGCCAAACCTCAGTCACCAGGCAGCTCTTCTGACACTCAAATGAGGATCAGACAATTTGTGACTTGAAGCTGAGACTTTTGACCTCAGAGGCCAAACGCCGTGAGGTGTGCTGAAGGGTGAAATGCTGAAGCTCACTCACTCATCCTGCACTAAAACAATTACAAACGAAATAAATTAACTTCAATCAGTGAAGGCAGTGTGGAAAAAGATGCTAAAGACAAAAAAATAAAAAGAACAAAATTACTGAGAAGTTGCACAGAAAACCACTTTTAAAAAGGTGAAATATTGCTTTAAAAGATAATATTACTGCTGACCACCAAACAGACTCTGAAACATTTACGGCAAAAAAAAAAAAAAAAATCACCACAAAAAAAGAAAA